TGTTTGTTGAATGGATAAATAAATAGATGTGCAGATGCCTACATGGGTTGTTTACAAGGTTTCACACTAATTAAGTATCCTAACTATGCTTAGTACTTCTATTTCTCAAGAGTGAGAAAAAACTGGTGATTAACCAATCACCAGCCTGGATTGGGAGTGGCCTTGCACCACCGGGCTTACCAGGTGTGCAGAGCACTGGTCATCCCAGGGCAGAGCTCTGCATTGCACACAGAGGCCCCAGCCACTGGTCGTCTGCTTCACAAGATGCAATACTTCAGTGACTCTTTCCTAAGGAGCTTTGTAGGACAGTGTGTTGGTAATAGCAAATATTTACATAAAAGTTGCTCTGTGTCAGGCACGTATCTAAGCTCTCTACAAAGATTAATTCATTTAATATCCACAAGTGTATAAGTGTTATAATTCTCATTTTACATATATGAAAAGTATGACATGGAAAGGCAACTTGCACAAGATCACACAGCCAGCAAGTGACAACTTCCCTCCAGACAGCCTGGCCCTGGTGGCCATGATGCTTTTGTTCACAGTGTTGCCCTTCTTTGAAAAGAATCATGCTGTTACTTAATGACTGAGTCATGACATTTGGGAGGCAGCGGTGACTTTTACTACAGAAGAATAAGGAGAAGAAGAACACAAGGAAAATACCATTCTCTGTGACCTTAGGCAAGACATGTAATTTTTCTGTGCCCTTAATGTTACATGTAGTAGTTTGCTTTGGCTTCAAGCAAATTATAAATTTTATTTTTCTTTAGCACATTAGAGATTCAGTGGGAAGTGATATCTTCTAAATACCAGATTGTATCATTAACAATCCTTTTTATTTATGTAAGTAACACTTTCTCAAATCGTATCTGAATAAATTAATAGAGAGTATCTATTACATTAGAAGGGCTTCACTCCTTGAAAATCATTAACTCAAGTCTAGCTCTTCAAGTCCCATTGAATTTTAAATGCATTTTTTAACTTTTGAATCTAGGAACAAAACTCTGATATTGCAGGTAATTAAGTTCATTCCGAGAAAACTGTGTGCATGTGGGTGGTATTCCTAGCATTTGAACAGAATACTAATAGCAACTGTGGGAAGTTGTGTTGGTTACGCTGAGCACTAGATGAACATTGACCAATTTCAAATAACTCTGACTAATCTGATCACAAGTACAGCATTTAAATGGAAACACAAATGCCATAGCATAAAGATTTTCCTCACTTCAATGACTACACTTCCCAAATCATAAAGCCTTCTAATTTGAGTTATACCAAAAATAGCATTGGTATACGGAGCCACAGATGAACAGTTTCCATAAATAGGCACCACTTTGTCAAAGACCGGATTCTAGAACTAAAATTTGACCTAATACTAGGACCATGTTTTGATGTCGAGAAATTTATAATCACTATGCTAATGCCATAAAAAGAAAGCTAAAATGGACTTATTTCTATTTTTGCTGGTGATTAATTATCACAGTGAAGATTTTTAAATCATTCCAGCGTTTTGCAGGATAAATGGGAAGAGGTAGGAAAGCAATAATTTCAAGAAAGCAGGCTTCCCAGTATCTGATGGAACGTGGCCACAAAATAAGAAAGGGTCCTGGAGAAGACAGAGGAAGTTTTTTGCCAAATGTAAAACAACTGGTTCAGCACAGCAAATGCTTGTGAAAATTAGAAGCAAATACAATTTTCAAGGTACTAAATGCACTTTGCTATGGTCCTCACCAGTTTCCCCTGTCTCCTCCAAATTTGTCTGATTTCTTTCAGATCTTATATCCCAAAAGTAAAGTCAATTTCCTATAACAAATTACACTTAAATTTCTAACTCCAATGCAGATGATTAGGAAACTACAAGACATATTTATAGATTAAATTCAGGAAAAGCAGCACCAGGGAGGGAAGGATGAATTCAGTAGAAGTAGACTCAACTCAAACGCTGAGATCACTAAGCTATGTTACTTTGCACAAATCATTTAACCTCTCAGAGCCAGCCTCCTCTTCTGCAAAAGGGAAAACCTGCTTGACTCACAGATTGTTGTGAAGATAAAATGAGATTATCGCCATGGCCCGCTGAATGTCATAAACCATGATGTGCTATGAACATGTCAAATGTTATGCAGGATCTTTTCCAAACAATATTTTTAAACTCCTTCTGTCAAAGCCATGGGACCTAATATGTTATTTCTTTGTCAAAAGAGGGAGATTGGCAAGTGATGAGGAGCTGTTAAGGGCAAAGAAGCATCAAAAATGAGATGTTCTGCTTGATGCAATCAGGTGCAAAAAGAACTAAACCAGGATTAACAGTTACTTAATGTTTAATTAGTATAACTTAGTGCTTTGGAAGGACCAAATCATCTTTGTTCCACCTAAACCCTCTCTGCTCCATCAGCGACAGGCGTCCCACACTCTGGAAAACAACCAACCTAGAGAATCCTTCTACTCCTGGAAGTAGAACTCCATGGTTCTTATTGCTAAATGACTTAACCAATACCACAACTTCAGCAAGCTGCAAAATTGAGCTAAAGAGTATAAGATTCTTAGTGTCTTTCATCTTTCTGAACCATTGAAGTCCCCAGTCAGCTAAGGTACACATCATTCCTCATATTTTACAAAGTGACAGGCTGGATGCAAGTGACAGACGGATCCCTTACACAGTTAATGACCTCAGGGAACTGGGATTTTATTATAGATAGTTAGCAATGGAAAACAAATTATGAGTTGTTATCAAAATTAAGCACCTGCAGACAAATGATTGGATCTATCAAGTGGCTAATCGGGGGTGTCTTCTATTGTTAATCATGTACAGCATCTAAGTACACCTGGTAATGCCAGACTCTCTAAACCCATCCACATGTGTTACCTGTCAAGTAGATGCATGACCAGGTATGAGTGCCCATGTCCTGACTCTTCAAGAACATTAATCGTCAGCACAAATGTTATCATGTCACTCTCCAACTGAAATCCTTCAATGGCTTCTCATTGCCTGGGGGATAAAACCCAAAATCTCTAACACTGTCTCAAAAGTGCCCCATGGTCTTGCCCTTGCTCATCCCTTGCTCCATCTTGTTCCACTCTTTCTTTAACTCTCTGTGCTCCGGCCATACTGACCTGATTTTGTTTTCTCCAAACGAGGCCTGTTCATGCTGTTTTGTCTGCCAAGAATGCTCTTACCCAACCCCACCACCCTCCTGTCCACACTAAGTCTCATTCATTCTTCAATTCTCAGATAAAAAGTACTTCCTCAAAGGCATCGTCCCTGAATTCTCTAGATTTTTATATTCAACTACCACAAGCTTCTCTACCTCTCCACCACTCTCAGTCACAGTTGAATTACTGGTTCATGTCTTTCTACTCCATGGGTGTGAAGGCTCATTGCAGGCTGAGAGTGTATATATCTCATCTATCCCTGTAGCCCTGGCATACACCACAGCTCCAGGCACTAAAGAGACATCACTAAGCAATTGTTGAATGAATGGATGAATGAGTGAATGAATGAGTGAAATGAATGAATGAATGAATGGTTTTGGACTGGTCCACACTGAAGGCCACAGAGTCCTCCAGTCAGAGAATCTTGTATCATTTTTCAACCTTATCCGGACTGTCTTCTTTTTCTAAATGTATGTTCATGATATAAATCTTCCTGGGGCAGCAGGGTAACCCAATCCACCACTGAGATGAGTGACATTCCTTGATATAATCCTGTCATTGGGAATACACCCTCCTCAAATTGGGCCACCATAATATGCAGCCTAGTGGGCCCAGGTGAATCCTCACAAAATCCTGAGGCAAGCAAGCCACTGATAGGAGCCTCTCATCTTTCTTTCAAGCCACAGAATTTGTCATGCTTTCATGTTAAAGGAAATTTCATAATTTCCTGTTCAAATAGCCACAGTGATGAAAAGAGGCAGTGGTGTAGTGCACTTGGCAATTAAGAGGCAGCATGGTATAGTGGAAAAAGTGCTAGACAAGGAACCGGAAGAACTACGTTCTGGTTCGGGCCGAGCCAATTATTTGCTGAGTGACCTTAAGCATCTGGCTCTTTCTGGATAAAATGTTCTTCCCTTTTAAATATAAATCTTTTGCCTATAGGGTTCCTGTAAGCATCAAATGAGATAATAATTATATTTTACTATTGTATATAGGAGTTGCTGGTACTTCAATTATGAAAAAAATGTAAACTTTAAAATACTAGGAAAATTATGAGAATTTTGTCACTGGTTCTTGAGAGCAGTTTTATCTTTCTGTCTTGGACAGTATCTGTTAATAATAAACTGAATTTTTCTTCCCTGCCATTTGATGGCTGGTGGAGATAACCCAGTTCTTGATGAGTTAGAGAGGCTAGTTAGAGAGGAGTTGAAAGTTAGTTATGATTGGTTCATATTTAAGAGATAATAGAGCATTGATTGGATATGATTCCTCCTTCAGGATCAGACTCTTGTTGGTTGTGACACAGCAAAAGTTTGACATAAATAATGATGACCTGAATTATAGGCCAGATAAGCTACCACCTACATGAAATTATTTTAGAGGAAACATAAGTTTTATTTATCCGCATTGAGCTCAAAAATCCATTACCGACATATAACCTTCCCACAATTAGAGATGAAGATGAAATTTCAATTTTTAGATAACAGTAAACTTTTACCAAGATGCTAATGATTAATTGAAGGCATTTTTTAATAACAGCACTTGAGGAAGAAAGTATTAGACACATGCCATATAAAAGAAAGAAAAAGAGAGACAAAAAAAATGAAATCAATGTTCCTACCTTACACTTTTAGGTTCTGAGACATTATAAAGGATTTATTTTTAAAGGCACTGCTTTGTTCGTTTCTTAATTACCCCAGTCAAAATAACTTTCATGTGAAAAATACAGGAAGAAGTAATTCCTGTTTAAAGTAAATCATCATATTCTTGTGTTTTATAATATTTCTCAGGAACAAGTACTAAATAGGAGCTGGGTTGACCTGTGTGGACATTGCTTTTAATTACAGACTTATCAATGAATCCTTGAGGGACCAGCTGTTGGTGACCATCCAGAAGACTTTCACATACACTCGAACCCAAGCTCAGCATCTGTTCATCATCCTCATGGAATGCATGAAGAAGAAGGAACTGGTATGTACACAGTGTCCCTGTGAGTGGCAAAGCCCTCTCCATATTCCCTCTGTCCGTTTAACCATTTTCTTGAGTCACGCTTACAACCTTCCTCAGGCCCCAGTGGCTCCTGTAGTTTCCTCCCTTCAGTAACTAAGACACCACTTTTTCTGCCCAGACTTAATGAAGTACATGCAACAGGGTTTTAGCATCATTTCCTACTGATGCTCACCCCAATGCTTCTGATTGCCTTAAGCAAATGAATTGAAGAGATTCAATAGGTTTCCTGCTGGAAAATGGTTCAGTTGAGCCTCTCTTAGGTTTGGGGTTTCATTTTGCTTGTGAGTAGTGAATCACTGATGTGTTGATTGTCACATATCTTAGTGACACAGGGTCCAGGCTAATATGCTGATCTTTGTGGATAGAAAATGGAGAAACCTACCCAAGGAATGTTGGAAACTTCTGTCGGTTCTGAAGCACCCTCCAGTAGCTATTAAAACATTTCCTACATCTGGGAAAAGTGTCTTACAAATGTGATGTAATCACAGAGGCCGCCTGTTAAGGTGAACAGAAATTAAAAACTGAGCTAACATTTAATGAGCACTTGCTATGTGCCAGGCAAGGTGCTAAATCTTTACATGTGTTAACTCCTGTGATATTTACAGCTGTCCTAGTGAGAGAGGTATGATTATTGTTTTCACCTTACAGATGAGGAGATTTAAAATCTCTTGATTAGTAAATGAGGAACTAGGACTGAAAAGCAGTGGTGTTTAATTTCCATGGAAAATATTTTTATTCAGAAATTGTCTCATGGAAGCAAATGTAGGGAATCTCTCACTTTAGATAGGTTCTCAGCAGGCATTGGCAGGCAGAGATGCTTCTCAAAGGTCATTTGAGGTCACCTGCTGAAATTGGAGTTAAAGGAACTGTTTAAACCTGAGTGGTGGATTTTACTCAGATTTTGGAGCATCTCAATTCTGTGTTTGCATCCTGGAACGATTATCTCTGGGAACGTTGTGTGTATGTGTGTGTGGTGGGGGGAGGAGGGAGCACTTCTCCTCTAGAGAGGCACCAGGGCCAGACCCTAAAAGGCTCAACCACAGGGCAATAGGTAAGATAGAGAAGAGCTGGAGCTAGCTGCCTTCAACCAGTTCCCCACTAGATTGTGAGCTCCTTAAAACATGGGCTGGAATCATCTTATTTATCATGGTGTCCCTATGCCTAAGTCAGTGGCTGGTGCACACAGTGGCTCACCGAGACTGCCAAGGGAGGGAGGGAGGCAATGTCTGAGTTTGAGAAGCCAACCATTTAGAAAAAGAGGACATGATTCAAGTAAGCTAGTGCCATCTCTGGAAAAAAGCCACACGACCTTTATGAGAAGCCTTTCGGCAGCTTCCAGGTTGGAGTTAAAAGGAGTGGAGGTCAGGAAAACGGGATAACACCTCCAAACCTTGAATACCCATAGACCTCAATAGTCTGTTCCCACCAGGTAGAGAAGCCAACGTGCAGATAGGGTTCACAGCCATGGCTGCTGGTGTCTCAGGAGAGCCCTCTGTCAATCCAGAGAGTGCTACCAGCATGCTCCCATATAGGATGCATTTCCTCACAGCACTTGTGCTTTTCCGTTCAGCTCCGTGGTTTCTCTGCCCCCAAGGAGGCGCATGAAACTGTGAGCTTCCACATGCTGCAGTATGGGTTTTCTCCTAAGTACTGATTTTCCAACGCTAATGCCAATGCTGACTGTGAAGCCTTATCAGAACTATATTACAGCAATCCTGCAAATTTCCTAGAGAGGCAGTGAAGATTAAAATTCTAGGAACCAGTTGGAAATCATAAAACCAAATGAGGCTGAAAGTACTTCTCCGGGTATTTCATGGGACTGTTCCCTGGGATTCTGCCTGATAATTGTCATGGCATTTAATCATGGCCCCTGCTGTAAGGTCTACTGCATTTTAATGTGAGATATTTATCGCAAAACATGTGAGGTATCCCTAACTGTCAGCTAAGGCAATGTGATCATAGCAAGAAATGAATTGTCCTTATCTCCACATCTGGGCAGAAATTGGGTTTTTTTCATCGTAAATGCAATTATACTCATTTCCATATTTGAGGGACTATTTATGTGCATGGCCAGAACTAGATGTTTTATAAAGGAGGTGTACATGAGGTAGGCATTGGTTTCCTCCTTTGAAGGGAGCAATAGAGGGAACTGAGGCTAGGAGAAGGTGAAGGATGTGTGCACAGCAGAAAGAGCCACAATAGGACTGTCTTGATGCAGGGCCCAAGTAGCTTCAGTTCAACATGCTGTACTCATATAGCTTAGCACACAAAACAAGGAAGCAGTGCAGAGTGGAATTCCTCTTCACTCTTACATCCTTCAAGTTTCTTTTGATTCCCTTTACAAACTAAGTAGGACATACTATTCTGAGGTCAGTCTAACCATTGCCAAGTTCAGCTAAGGGATTTGGTTCTGGAGAAATACATCTTTCTCATCCCATCATCCTAGTGATGTATGTAATAAAGAACTGCATTATGGGTGCATATTTAGCTTGTGAAACCCGGGCCTCTGGGTCATGTAGCCTCATGGAAAACATGCATTGATGGGCCTTTTGTACGAGTACTTTCTACTCACTTTATATCATTCTTGAAAAAATTCAAGTCTCTGCTCATTTCCCACCTTGGGTCAAAACAACATCTCAAAACCTGTCACCTTCTGAGAACATATATACCCCTAGAAATTAATCCGTGAGCTAAGTTCCATCATTGTTATTGAGGGAAAAACAAAAATCAAAGAGATAAAAACTATGCACAGCAGCATATTAGTGTGGGACAAATGTAAGGGACCAGGAGTGAGTGTCCCTCTATCCCCTTCCTCTTCAGGAGGGGACTGGTCATAAAGCATATCAGGACCAAGAAAAGAGAACCCCAAGTGACAAGCACACTGTGAAGCTGATTGTGCGTGTGGAAACCACAAGGCTCTGTGTGTAGAGCCTTTGAGTTCCAGGAGATGATGCCAGTTCCTGCTCCTGCTGCCTCCTGGAGCTCCTATTCACCCTCCACACTCCTGCGCATGCCTTATCCCATCTCCACTAGTTCCAGACTTAAATTTCATTGTGTTTTTTTTATGGACCATTCACACTAACCAAACTAATCTCCTTGCAGTTATTTTTAAAGTTCCTCCTTCCCTTGTGTTTGTTCAAGTTTAGAGCACTCTCGTTAGCCACAATCAATGGCCAAACACATGTACATACATGCCCATGTGTGCACACACACACACCTACATACCCACACATCTACGCCTGGAATTCTCTTCACCTATCTATTTGTAACTCTCTTGTGGTACTTATCTTTTACATCTTATTATGTGCATCTCTAACTTCCACTGTAAGCTCTAGAGAGCAGAATCAGTGTCTGATTCCTTATTCTGTTTCCCCTGTGCTCACTCACCCCTAATTGTGCTTAGTAGCATAGCATATATAGCAGACACTTAACAAATCTAAATCTCCCGCAGCTGATGAACCACCCCTAGTTAGTAGGGAAAGCACCAGAAGAGTGTTGTCTGTGCCGTACAGATGAGTCTCTGGAGACCCAACTCTGCTACCTTCCAATGCAGGAACATAGATTTGTTTATTTATGAGGACATATATACCGTATTTCCCCATGTATAAGATGCTCCCATGTATAAGACACACCTAAATTTTGGGGCCTGAAATTTGAAAAAAAAATGTATTACATAAAGTTATTGAACTCAAGTTTTATTCATCATAAAATTCATACAACTCATCACTGTCAAAACTCCCAACTATTAGCTTGTCCTCATCTGTGTCTGATGACTAATCACTGTCTTCATATACTGCCTCTCATAACCTGCCATGGCGTTTTTAGTAGGGTTTCTTCTTCCCATAGCCAGTCTCGGATTGTTTTCTCAGTTGGAGGAGGACCAAACTTACGTTCAGCAGCATAATTTCCATTCACTTTTGCAAACTGGATCACTTTTAACTTGAATTCAGCACTGTACGAAAATCTTTTCTGAGCCATTTCTGGGCAGAACGTGGCAAAACGTAACCTACCATAATATACCGGTAACAAGTGCGAAACAATGAGCGCAAAAACAACAAGTGCGAAAAAGCCGGAAATGCAAGTTAAAAAAATCTACAACCACTGTATAAGACGCACCCAGTTTTTACACCCTGAATTTTTCAAAAAAGGGTGCATCTTATACATGGGGAAATACGGTAAATTGTATGTTGATATTATGTCACAACTCTCTTACCACATTTGGGAATCCGAGGAACAATTCTCTACCTGTCCTTTCATAGGTTCATAAAAAACAAGCAAGTAGGACTTCTGAAGAGAGGTTTTCTCACTTTTTGAAGATAGGCATCCTATCAAGGTGTTTCTTGTTTAGAAAAATAGATGTTTGCAAGACTCTTAATACTATGGGCAGGGGCCATTCGTGTTACTTGTTGGATTAGGGTCTCAGCACCATGAAGGAGATATTCCTGATGATCCCAGTTCCCCCACTGCCCTAGGTTGCTGGGAGAATTAAGCATTTGAGCATATGAGTATGTAAAGAACATTTGACTCCTAGGAAGCACTCAATAACTTGAGCTGCCATTATAGTTATTCTATAAGTAACTGCAGGTAATAAGTAGAGTATAAGCACAGATGTCTACTTTAACCATTGTTGTTTTTTTCCCCAGTCCTAGCTAAAATTGTCCATGAGGCACAGTTTTCCTTCAGTGACATGCCAGGTGATAGGAAAAAAGCAAGCCAGCACCTTCCCTATGTAACACCAATGACCAAATAAGCTCAGTAGACCTCCTACGGTCATGAGGGAAAGAAACCTCTTATAGGTTTTGGCCTAAAAAAGGGACTTGTTAGGCAAAATAGCTGAAAATCATAGAGTCATGTATCAAGTATAGAAAACAGTTGTCTCCAACACAATGTTTGGGGAGAAACAGAATTTCGCTTTCAGATCAATGCCAAAGTGTACCTAGCTCCTTTTAAGTTTATTTGAA